AAAAAAAAAAAATGCCCACTATTCCTATATCCATTGAAGGCTTTTAAATCGGTGAATTTCTATTACAAATAACAAACTGTCTATGTATAGTGATCGATTGTTTTTAAAACTCTCGTATCGACGAACATTTTGTTGCACATTTCATTCATAATTACTTAAGTCCGATTTTATTTCATCATTTATACAAATCTAGTAACGATGACACATACAGCTATAAACTAACGATCGAAGTTCCCTCACTTCTACTTCCTGTCCCCGGTCGTGCGGTTGTGTAAATAAAAAAAGACGTAAAGAGAAGAGGAATGAACGAGCGAGCGATTGTTATGTTGTAGGCAAGATATAAAAGAAGGCAGAGGAGAAAGTAGAAAGAAAGTGCGTGAGTGGATGAAGATGGACGATAAGAGTGTTCGAGTGGACAAAAAAGATAGGAAAAGATAGTGCGAGTGAACGATAAATTAGCGAATGAGCGAATGACTGAGCGAATGACTGAGCGAGTGAAAGAGAAAAAGAAGGGAAGCGAGAGGAGCCAGCAGTCGGAAAAATTACTGATATTATCCATGCCAATCAACATTATTACCTTTCATTTCTTTAGTACTTTTTCCTCGTAACTCATTATTCACTTACCATATTTTATACCTACCTATTCTACTTATCTACACACCCTATTTATAAAAACATAATATCAAGGATATAATAATATTAATATTAACGATATGATAAGAATGATATTGCTAATTATACTGAGTGGGGTTTTGTAACACAATAATGTTTCAATATAAATTCTGGTTTTCCTTCGAAATTATAATAGAGGAAGATTATATACTTATATAAGGCAGGCAAATAGGAAGCAAGTATGCGAGAAAGAAAGAAAGAAAGAAAGGGAAGAAAGAAAGAAGAAACGAACGAACGAACGAACGAAAAAAAGAGGAGAGTTCAGCTTGCGGGGGCAAGGAAGCATAACCTGGCAAAAGCGGAGACAGTTCACGGTGACGAGACTTTAGACTGATCTAGGTACTAGCGTTACGATATTGGCCCTACCCCAGCGTTAAAGGCGCCCCAATATGATATCACTTATCCTTTGCTATTTTATACAATTGACCGGCGCGGCAGCTGGGGTGCCTGGGGGTTATCGGTCGCATTTAGGATAATGCACCACTGTGGCTGACGATGCTGTAGCCGCGCGCACCTTTTTACCCGGTCATTGCCCTAATTTGCGGCACACATCCTTGGGAACTTGACTCTTCTTGGTTGGCCCGTGTCAAGCGGATGTTGTGTGATTTTTGGGTCGCTCAATTTATGTTAATAACGACCCAAAGACGTGTTTTTTAATTATATATAAATATATTATATATTATATTCCTGCGGATATGCATTTTGTGACGTGATGTTATTTAGCATTAATGAGAGAAAACAACAAAAAACGAAGAATTGTACGGAAAGAAAATGAAAGAAAAAATATTTAAAAAAACGAAAAAAAAAAAACGAAAAAAATGTACGTAACACTATTCACACAACCATATATACGGTTTATGTTTCTCGCGCCACACATGCCACGTGTCAGCTCCACGGCTAAAAGTGAACGACAAATTTCAAACACGACCAAATTCTTTCAATGTTGATAATTGCGTTTTCAGATTCTTTTTTTTTTTTTTTAATTATTATTATTATTATTATTATTATTCATCATCTTCTTCTTCCAATTGCTTTGCTTCTTTTTTTTTTTTTTTAATTCCCGCAATTCGAAAAGTTGTCCCTAATTTTAGTGTGACGTAGTTGAACGTAATGATTATTGAATTTAAAATAATGTTGAAATGGTTCCTTTTTCGGGCTAGGAGCTTGATTTAAAGTGTCAAAGATTTTTGTGTATGACCAGATGTATTCTACATGTCTCAATAAACAGTTGTATGTGAATTACCTTTCTTAAAAGGCGATATATTATTTATTTGTACATTAATAAAATACATGTTTGTTCCTCCTCCTTATTTAAAAAACTTTTCACTGTATCACTTCTTATTATCCTGCAAGTCTTCTTTTCCTATTCTAGCAGCCGCTCGGACGTGGAAATTTATTCCCATATGCATATGTACGTTTGTTATATCTTCTTAAACATCCCTTGGATCAGTGTCGTCTCTCCCCACTCTTGGGGTTAGATTGACTAGCGACCCCTATCTTATTGTTAGGGCGTGTTAAGGTAGAGCCAGTACCTCCGCAGAAACTGGCTGATTCAGAATTATTTAACGCGTTCTTCTATATCCGTTGGTTCAGTCTTTTGTCAGTCTTCTCTTCACTTCTCGCTTGTATAAGTCACACTTACCTTCGAACATGCATAAATACTAACGCGTACATACAATATGTAGGTACTTTCTGTTCTCGTATAATTTAAGTGTCAGCACGACATCGTGCCAGTTTCCACAGTTTTCACAGTTTTGATTTTTATCAGTTGTAACAACGATGTGTAATAACGGTGGCAAGATCGACGGCTAAGAAACGTATTTTCTGTTATCGTTTTGGTCACTTTGATTGCTCATTGTCCTGCTTCTTGCAATTTAGTACGGTCAATCAAGGTGAAAGAAAAGTCCGTGCGCACGTTATTATATTTCCAAATGGTACGGACAGAAACAGAGAGGAAAAGTCTATTGCAACGAAGGATGTAAATCATCAATTCCGTCATCGACGACATCACGTTTTTTTTTTTTCTCGCGTTTCACGAATTCGAATGTCTCGAATTGCGTCAAGCGTAAGATATCAATTTTAAGCAACGTTCTCTAAGGTACGTACGACATATATTTGTTTGTTATAAGCGTATTATAAAGTGAGGGGAGAAATGATTGATTTTATATTTAGCGAGCAATTATTCGATAAAATTGGCGGTTCTTGAAATCTGATTTGAATGAAATTCTTTACAAGCTGTTTCGGATTATTCTGCCGAGATTCTTACTGAGAGCATACGATGCGC